GAATGGCAGAGACAGAAGAGACTCTGAAAACAGGTACGATATACATGGACTGTATAAATAAGAACAAAAAAAAAAACCCCCGTGAACTTATTATCACCGAAAGGTGTTACTCTTCGTATCAGGAGTACACGTAAGATAATTCACTTAAGAAAATAATTCAACGTCAATAGAAGGGATAATTGGAATGAAGAGAAATATGCCCAAGTGTTTTTTCCTTTTTTTTTTTTTTTTTTTTTTTCCAAAGAGAGTGAGAACTCGTTAGCGTTTTACGTATTGAAATATAAAATAAAAGGATAGATAGTGAGAAGATTTCAGGAATATCTCTTACTTAGCAGTGAAAGGGTTAATTATGATCGTTCGTTCATTCGTTCGTTCACTTGCTTGGTTACTTGTTCGTTCATTTGGAGTCTCTCGAGCGTACGAAGCCCGTTCCGGAAACCGTTTCTTACGTGTGGGCGAGAAGCCGAGGCCGAGTTGAGACCACCAACTCCCCCAGACTCCCCAAGTACCCAGACCAAGTAACACTCACAGACATCATATCCTCGGATTGAGAGAGTTTCGATCGAAGACAACACACATCCTCGACAAACATCTTCTTAGTCGTTGTACTTGTATATTTACACGCGATTACGCGTCGTCGTCATCGTCGTCGTCGTCGTCGTTGTCTTGTGCAGGTACGACGCACTGAGAGATCAGGTCCCACTTTCTCCTCACGCAGATATAATATAATAACCCGTGTGCGCGCGCGAGCGCACGAGCCTCGTTTAGGTGTGCCAGGTATACAAGATGAACCATCACTGATCAAATTCGTTTAATCTTCTTTCAGCGTTTTGTTTTTTGTTTTTTTGGTTTTAGAAGTTATACATTTCTTTTTGGCACGTGTTAAAGAACACCAAATGACGAGTATGAATCTTTACGATGTGAGTGCGCATAATGCGACACAAATTTCTACATTCTGAAGTTAGTCGATGTTTACAAGTAGTAGTAGTAGTAATTACGTTGGTTAAATAAATATATATATATATATATACAATTAGATGCAATTTATTCTGCATACGAGGAATAAACCAATCGACATTGCATTTTATTTCTAAGAAAGCTCTTGATCATTTGTACTGATAATTATGAAAGTGATCATGTGATCAAAGTCAAAATTTAAGAAATAAAAAATTAATTTATCAATTATTTCACCCTACATTATTTTAAATTGAATTAATGCAGTGTAATTGTCAAAAACAAAAAAATTGTATTTGTTATTTAAAATATTCTATAGAATTCACATTTAGTGTTCAAAAATATATGAGGGGTATACCGAAAAGTAATCAAAAATTTTGTTTTCGCTGACGAAAAAAATTGATTTATTAAAGAAATTTTAAAATGCTAATCAACAACAAATTTGCTTTTTGAAACAACAAGAGACCATAATTTATATTCGAAACATGAAACCATAATTATGAATACATTTGATAAAATATATTATCGTATTGGTTTGATGAAAAATGAAAAATTCTTTGAGAAAGAAATAATAAAGAAAGAGATAAAGAGAAAGAGAAAGAGAAAGAGAGAGAGAGAGAGAGAGAGAGAGAGAGAGAGAGTGAAACAAGTGAACTTACATTAGATATAACTCATTGGAATTTATCTTTCGCCTCTTCGATGTTTATATACCGCCTCCTGGGTAAGAAGAAAAGGAGTGTATCGGCCGGGGACCGAAGAATCGCTCGTTTAAAAGACATTTTACGTCCTACGCCACGAAATCAAAGGCCACACGTTCTATACCGATCTCTGTGTATCGTTAGACAGAGGAAAATATTTTTAGAATAAAACATATCTTCAACGTTTGCCAACGTTCAATTTTACGAGCTATATCAAACGAAATGTTACAGGCTATTATAGTAGGTTTAAGTTTCGGTCGTTAGTTTCTCTTCATCGCTGGTGACAATGTGCAACACGATGTATTTTCCACACCGTATGTGTGGATATATATATATATATACATAACAATAAGAAAGTACAGGTAACCTTCCTATAACACAGTGGATTTTTCTAGGTTCCTAGAAAATACCGTTTTGTATGATACCCAAAGTTCATTTATTATTTTTAAGATAACTTACAATTACTTTTTAAATATGTTTAGTTAGTTAATAATATTTAATATATTAGTTTTTAAATATATTGTGTTATCCAGTGCTGTATCAATATTTTTGCAAATTTTTCTATCGCGGTTAATTTAAACAGTGTTATATAGGAGTTAGGTTATTAACCTGTTAACCGGGGAATTCCCTTTTTAATGATGCAGCTATTTTTTATTATTTAATTATTATTTTTTATATATTACTTTATATATTTATATATAAAGTACAAAAGTTGGTATCTTTAGCTTGAAAACAATACGTTTATACGTCCCTCTCGGTTAACAGTTTAATACCTGTATAATAATTTTACAAAGGTACATTAGTAATTGACTTCGAACGTTGATAAACTTCAAATGTTTTGGGTCTAGAGGGAAGAAAGGGTCGAAGAGTGGGAGAAAAGTTGGGTGCACAAGTGGTGGAAGAGGACGGTGGCAATCGTGCCGAGTGGCACGTGGAGAGGCGTGGTTCGTGGGAGGGACGCGTGGACCGCAGTAATCCACTTGGCACACGCTGTTCGGCAAACCCTACTCTTTCTCTTGCCACTCGACACCCTACCCTGTCCTCTCCTCTACCTTTACCCTGCCTACGTCGGCCGAGAAAGACCCGAGCCGTCCCGAGCTGTACCGAACCACCGTGCTGCTGTCTCGGAGGATAGACACGTTCTTTCCTTTTACACGTGCAACCTGTTCAGGTGCACCCTATTATACTATTCGCGTTCTATTACGTAGGTGGGGACAACACATTTACTTATTATACGTCTTACTTATTTATGTATTACTTATTCTTTTATTACGTATCATTCTTTACCTTTCTTAACAACCCCCAACCACCATCACCACCCTTTTCAATTTATTTCAGATCTGCGAGAATCACAAAATTTTTATTATGGAATTGAAGGGGGGGGGGAATTGGTAGGGAATTTCTTTTTTAGATCAATTTGGAATTTGCAAAATTTGAGCAACTGTATTAATAACCTTCTATTAATATTTTTAGTTTCACCTCGCGAAATATTGCAATAACTGCATTTAACAAACGTATCAATCAATGTTTTAATTAAATGAAATATTTTTTTCCAAATGTTTTCCAAAATCTTTGACAATTTATAACAATTTGTTTTTCTTTTTATTTTTTTTTTTTTTTTTTTTTTAAATAGAAATTATCATAAAAATATGCGTTTAATCTATGGATATTCTTAACGAGACATAAAATAATGAAATCTTATGAGTTTAGGGGACAAGATAAATATGCTCGAGTCCCAACCTCCCTCATCAAAGTTCTTTTCATTTGCAATAACCGTGACACACTATTTGAGAATCCATTTTACTAACGGAAAAAGTCACGGTTTGTGAGTATCTAATCCTTATCGTTAATCTCGATAGACTCAACTGATTTAGGGAAGGGTAGATTTCGTCCGGCTGTCATCATATCCGATTACAGAGTTATATACTAATGCTTTATAGATATTATTGTTACATTAATATCATCATTTAACATATTTTTTTTTTTTTCATATACATATACTATGTATGTGATTTAATAAAAACATATTATGAGAAAAATGAAAAGAGACAAAGAAAAGAAAAAAAAAAGGAAAAGGTAGAACCGTGACGACACCCATCCCTCGAGATAATATCGTGCAATAATAATAATAATCACGGTGGGGTATTAACAGGGTTGCACGTCTATAGAACGGGGTGGTAGTATTTTAAATGCCAACGATTTCATGTCTCCCTGGGGGTGCTGATACGACCCTATATAGGAAGAGGCATCAGCTTCGAAGGCTTCAGTCGACAAAGAGTAGAAGACTGTCCCTTCTGATATCAAACAAAACTGTGTCTTTTGGATAAACAACCGGACGATCATTTTCAAATTAATAATTTGACAAAATATTCGTAGAAATACGAGGAACCAGTGAACAATAAAAATTACTTGTCCAAATTCCGATTTAACGATTTTGAAACTGTGTAAACCAGAAGTGTCTGACCAAATCTGCAAACCTTGACTGATTAGAAGAGAATTCGTTCTTCTATTCGAAATATTTGTGATTTGTTTTCTTTTTCTTTATGTTCAAATTCCATAAGCTGATCACCTGATCGTATTTTTTCTTATTTTTCTTATGCAAATGTTGAAACGTTTTTTCGACTCATTTTTGATTTCTCGTGTGATGCAGCAGAAATGATTGTCATGGATGATGACGATGGTCAGTCGCCGTTTCAAAGATATTGTACGTACTATGAAAATATTGAATATAATTATTATTAGGTTGTCCTTCTGAACAGTTCGTGCTAATTTTGACAGAAGATTAAAATGCGTTAACCTTTCTACATATTTAAAGTATAAATAAAACTACTTTACGTCCCCAGCTACATTAAAAATCGGTTTACCGAACTTTCCGAATAACCAAATTCAATTTTTCTAGGGATTTTTACAACATTGATACATAAAACTATTTATTTTCAAGTAAAAAAACATATTTTTTTGTTATCTATCTAATCTTGAATATATATTTATTGTATTATATTTATATTTATTATAATATTATAATAATAATTATAAGGTATTATTTATACATATATATATATATATATATATATATATATATATATATATTTTTATTATTATTTATATATATTTTATATTTTAATATTAATTATATATTATTAATAATATAAATTATTACTTTATTATTGAAAAATAATAATTTAATTATACACACACGCATAATAGATTTAATATATTTACTATAAATCTCCAAGGGGGAGTGGGTGGGTGGGTGTTTCTTAATGGATTCTTTTAAGTAATATTTTTCAAAATTAAATTTATAAAAAGATTAAATAAAATAATATTCTTTATATATTTATATTACAGGGCAGTTGCATTCGCCGAACGGCGATAGCGACAACAGTAACGGTAGTCAACGTGTGGTAGCCATTACCAGAAACGAGATAGATCAACAGCAACAGCCTCATCGGCAGCGACAACAGCAAAGACAGTCAACAGCTACCGTTCCGGTTCTCGGTTGTACAAATCATTCCTCGATTACTACTACAACCACGACGGCCTTTACAGTCGCCTCAAGTATGCTTCTACTACAGACACAAGTGAGTAGTAGTGGTACAAATTTTCAAAATGGAACTAATTGAAATTGTTAATTGGTTAACAACGATTACCTATATTTTTAAATGATATATAATGAACTTTGTGATATCATATATATATACATTGGTACATAACGGTTCAAGAACCGGGATCAGGATCATCCACCTCGTGTTTTCAACATCTCTCGATCCCCAACTGGTTAGCATCGCGTTCCGTCTGCATTCCAACCCACTATCGTAATCTGCATTCGAACTCACCTACGTTATCCTACTCGTTTACTTGTTTTTTTTTTTTTTTTTCATTTTTTTTTTCTTTTCTTCTTATATATAATAGAAATTAAAAGAGAATTGCACTTAATTTGAGTAATTAATTCAATCAATCAAAATCAAGATTCCAAAATTAATACTCGTTTTTACACATCTAAGAGTTTTAGAGCCCTTTAAAAAGCTCTGACGCGAATAACGCAAATATTTGCGGTGCCATTCTCTCTGTCTCTCGAGGGAGCGATGAACAAAATGTCAACCATAAGCGGAACAACCGTTTACACCCCCCCCCCTTCTCTCTTCAAATTGAATATTGTCAATCTTTATATCCTACCACAATTTCTAATCTACGCCCCTAAACATTTCGTCTTTCTTTTCTTTTCTATTTTTGTGTGTGTGTGTGTGTTAACAAAATTTCTTCTTAAACCCTTAAGTACTAAATTATTTGAAAATTTTTAATGCATCTAATATAACGGATTTAATTTGTTGCTATATGGATTAATATGTAAAAGTAATAGATTTTATTTGAAATAAATATTTTCTTCGAGATGATCATCTAATTCGAGTAAATCTCACAATTGTTTATAAAAGAAAAGATTTTCTTAATACGTGGATAATAATGATTAAACTCTTTTTGTTTTATTTACTTGACTACTACGATAGAATAAAAATGGTTGATCAAGAGAGAGAGAGAGAGAGAGAGAGAGATTCTATCGAACGCCAGATTGTAGGCAACACGCAATACTTTCCGGTCTTTCCGTGCATTCTAGTCGCGCACCTCGATCGCGTACATATCGGATGTCTCGACTAATAAGTGTAACAAAGTTTCACAAGAACAAAACGAAACTTGCACTTTACAATTAATAACTAGGATTTTGTTTGTAATCACTCTTAAACAATTCCTTTTAAATAATTACAATATATAATAATAATTACATTAATTATATTTGATTTGTAAATTAAATTATTTATATATATATATTATTATGTATAATTTGTTTATCAAATTATTAAATAAAATTTTATATATTATTTAATAATATATATTTATATCTTGTAATTATAATATTAAATTATATTATATATTTATAATTATAATTTGCAACAAAAAGATTAGCGAAACTCTATAGGATTCTATTTGGATTGATCTTAAAAAAAAAAGTCTTTTGAATATAATTAAAAAAAATATATATATATATATGTATATATACAAATATGAACATATTATAGCACGTAAGATTTATTTCAATTTCAGAGTCCATTTGGATGCAGCAGTTTTACGGATTTGTTGAGCGTGCCCTACACGGATTCTGCAGATGCTGGAAGTTTGCCGGAAGAACTGGATCCATTTCCAGAATTGCAGCTGGGTAATCCGCAAGATGAACCTCCACAATCCCAACAAAGCGTTCATCATCAAACAGCCCAACCTCCTCCACCGCCACCACCCCTTCCCGAAGAAATTCAACCTGATTCGCTGAGGTATTTATTTTTCACATTACAACTTATGTCTCTATTGTATATTTCATAAATATGTTTATATTTTAAGGAATATTTCGAATTATCAAAGTGTTCATTTGTTGCTTCGACACAAACTACTGCACGATTTAAATAATAATCTAATTAAATTTGCAAATAATGTCAATCGATATGAAAATACGAAGAATTTTGTTTCAATTTTAAATAAAAAAAAAAAAAATTGTTTTTTATATTTATACTTAAATTATCGACATGCATTTCACGTCATAAATTGGTAACGAAAATAAACTGAAAGTTCGTTCGATTATACCAAAAATAGTTTACAGAATGTAGAATTTTCAGATAGTCAAATATTTGCATTTGCTGTCGTAGGAAATGATCGGGGCAAGAGACGAACACTTCGAACATTTTCTTTAATCATGTATAACTTGAAAATTAAGATACATTTGATGTATGTTCAATTAGTGTGAATTGACTCAAAAGTATTGACATACATCTACGAATATACATCTATTTGAATATCGAATCTACTTGAAAACTCGAAAAACAATGCTCCAAACCATTCCCAAAGATAGAATGATATTCTATTATAGTCCTACACCATTGCCGAGCTTCCAAGAGACCTACACAGTGCCACGATATAGCAGACAAGAACTTCAGAGTCTCGGCATCAAGATGGATGACGATTGTTACGAAAATTCGGTATATTCCTGCGGTACTCCTCATTATGCCACCGAATTCACATCGGGTGTTTCCTATCACGAGCACCACAGCCAACAACAACCTCACCAGCCACAGCAACACCATCATCATCATCCCCAAGTTCATCAACAACAACAACAACAACAACAGCAGCAGCAACAACAACAACAGACTCAGGCACAAGCACATCATCATCACCATCATCAAGCTTATTTTCCAACGGAATCGGCACCAACGCCAACCGCGGCGCTACCGTCGCCGTCAAATCATCGGCAAGATTCACCTTACGGAGTAGCAGTGACTGTACCAATGGTATATGGTCAAGCACCAACCATCACGGGTGGTTCGACCGTACCAGTAGCACCAACGGATATTTGTCCGAACCTCGAGAACGTCGTCGTTGGTCCTCCTCGTTCACGAAGGGCATCCTTACCCACCCAAAGGTCGGAATCGGCAAGGTAATTATTTGCATGAACAAAGAAAAAAAAACGATCCTTACGTCTCCTTGTTATATTCCGTATATCCTTTTAGTAAGAAGTAAGAAAGATTATCGAACCGTTTTGATTGACATCGACAGTAGTGGCAGCAACGAGTCCCCTAAGGCACGCGGAGGAGGTGGTAACGCTAACATCACGAGCATCACTGGCAACACAGCAAACACGGCGAGTTCCGCGAGTTCCGTCAGCCCTCCGTCGTCCGGAAGCGGCAGTACCAGTGAACGTGCACCACCAAGTCCGAGCCAATTGTGCGCCGTTTGCGGTGATACAGCCGCGTGTCAGCATTATGGCGTGCGTACGTGCGAGGGTTGCAAAGGTTTCTTCAAGAGGACGGTACAAAAGGGTTCCAAATACGTTTGCCTCGCTGAAAAAGCTTGCCCGGTCGACAAGCGTCGTCGAAATCGTTGCCAATTCTGTCGCTTCCAAAAGTGTCTCATGGTCGGCATGGTCAAAGAAGTAAGTTCTGATCTTTTCTATTTTTTCTATTATCATTATAATTTAATCTTAAAGAAAAGATGATAGATATATGAAGGATTCGTTCGATAATAGGTCGTTAGAACAGACTCGTTGAAAGGTCGTCGCGGAAGGTTGCCTTCTAAACCAAAATCACCGCAAGAATCCCCGCCAAGTCCACCAGTATCCTTGATCACGGCTTTGGTTCGAGCTCATTTAGATACTACCCCGGATCGAATGAATCTCGACTACTCGCAGTACAGACTATCGAGACCAGGAGATTTGTCCGTAACTGAGGCAGAAAAAATTCAACAATTCTACAGTCTATTAACTACCTCGATCGATGTAATTAGAAATTTTGCCGACAAAATACCTGGCTTCACGGATCTGGCACGAGAGGATCAGGTGAGCGATCGCTTCTTCGACTATGTGCATTGTATATATATACTGAAAGACGACAAAGATCGATAGCTCGTACATTTTCTAAAAGGTCATTCTCGACAAGACGAGCTTTCGAAGCGTCTGCCTGTTCGACGATAAGTCGTCGTCGTCGTCGTACCCTATGGGTGGTGGATAGGGAGTCTATGATTTTCCTATCACACGCATCCTACACAAAAGTCATAGTCATAACAATCCTTATAAAAACGTTTCCCGTTTTGGGTTTTTCTTTCTCAGGAATTGTTGTTCCAATCTGCCAGCCTGGAACTATTCGTCCTAAGGTTGGCTTACCGCACGAAACCGGAAGACACCAAGTTAACATTTTGCAATGGTATCGTTCTCGCATTGGAACAATGTCAACGTAGCTTCGGCGATTGGTTGCACAGCATTCTCGAATTTTGCAAATCACTTCATAGCTTGGACGTGGATATCAGCGCGTTCGCCTGTCTTTGCGCTCTTACCCTGATTACCGGTGAGTAGTCCGTTCAACTTGTACTCTATCATTGTTTATTCTCGATTGAAGCTAGTGTAGTAACCGCGATCAATTATTTATCGATTCGGTAGATCGGTTATCGTCTGACTTTGCGCTTTGCACGCGATGTGTCCGACATACGTAACACGTAACGACCCATACGTAAACCCGCTTGCACGAAATCACCACCATCCTAAAAGCTATATAATTCTTGAATCATATAACCAACGACGACATGCCCAACGATATGTCCAATTTTCATTTTCAGAGAGGTACGGTTTGAAGGAACCACATCGCATGGAACAACTGCAAATGAAAATAATCTCGTCGTTGCGCGATCACGTAACTTATGACGCCGAGGCCCAAAGGAAAACGCATTATTTGTCGCGTCTTCTCGGTAAGCTGCCGGAATTAAGGAGTCTTTCGGTTCAAGGTCTTCAAAGGATTTTTTACCTGAAACTCGAGGATCTCGTACCGGCGCCACCCCTAATTGAAACGATGTTTGGTAGTATACCCTTTTAATCGTTTCCTCCTTCGTTATACTATCACTGTACCACTACCACCACCACACTACCACTACTAACACAATCATCACTACCAACCAACGCCACAATCACACCCTAAACGAAGCCTAAGGCTACAACAATTTCTAATCTCGTAAGACGTACTTAAACGCGCGCGTCTTCGATGATTATTATCCTACGTATGGTTGACTCTTATCAAAATTCCACTTTTACTAAATACTTTCTTTTCAATTTATTATTATGCCTAGCCTGGCTTTCGTTATATCTTCATTATGCGTGTTGTTTACACAAGTGCGCGCGGCTGTTGTTTGTAAGTGTATTTTATTGTCCTTTCGAATGAGCTTATCGAGGAGCAGCTGAACAGATTATAATTGTCCTTTATTTTATCCTTATCTACAAATGTAAGTCCCCGAGAATGAATTTAATATATTATTATTATTATTATTATTATTATTATTATTATTATTATTATATATAGTAGAATGTAGGCACATATTTTTACGCGTACGCAATTGTACGTGTATATTATGTACAATCTTTGCGTTTGCGTAATTATGCGCAAAATTATTGAACGAATGAGAGAGTGGATGAAAGAAAGAAAACAAGAGAGAAAGAGAGAGAGAGAGAGAGAGAGAAAGAGAGACTGGAGAGAAAGAATAAGCGCGAATCTACGCGATCGGAGTTATCTTTTAAGGAAAAGTACCCCAATGTGCGTGCCTGAAGCTCCGTATGCGTTACTACTACTATTATTATTATTATTATTATTATTATTATTATTATTGCTAGTACTATTGCTATTACTATAATTATTATTATTGTTACTATAATTACCATTACTTACTATAATTATTAATATCATAACGTTACCTGCCCGTGCTGTCCGATTGGTAGGAAACGGAAAGGAAATGATCGAACTATCGAAGAATCGATGAACAATTCGAAAAGCTTCTTATGCGAGCGGACCACACGATATCGGCGAAATTTCTTTCGTATAACTTTTTGCTATCGTTCTTATCTTATTAGATTTTTAGATCGAGCTTTGAAGAAAAGAGCGAGAGAGAGAGAGAGAGAGAAAAGAAAGTTGAAAGTGCGTTCGTTTTTGCGTGTGAGAAGAGAAAAGGGGATGATGATGTATTTAGGGGGG